AGACGATTGATTAAAAAAACGAAAAAAATAAATAAAAATAGGATTAAAGCTTACTTTACGTATCCAACAAGATAATTATATCTGGAATAATTTGTCTCCTCTATTTTATAAAATAAGGTCAAATTTATTTGTGTTACGTTATATTATATCAGCGAGTTTGTTTTAGAGTGAATCGAGCCCCGGATTTGAGCGTTGTAAGTCCGTAAACATAGCACTATCTTACTGGGGTACATTATGTCCATTTGTTTGTTTATTAATAGTGAAGTTTAAGTGTTTTTAAAATTTATAAGATTAAATGATGAAAAATAACACTGTTTTTAAATTTCATGATGGAGTGAATTATTTTCATAACAATAAAGATAAGATTAAGCAAACATTTTCTACGATAGATAAGTTTATGGTAATATTTGTGCATTATATGTCATGTTTATAATGAAATGTAGATGAATATCTTTATTTTTCGAAATATATCCTTTGTTTGCGTAGAGTTAGAGTGAATATTTATAACTAAGCTTTATATCATTGTGGCCCGGCATGGCCAGGTTGTTAGGGAGCTCGACTCGCAATCTGAGGGTCGCGGTTTCGAATCCCCGTCCCACCAAACATGCTCGCCCTTTCATCCGTGGGGGCGTTATAATTTGATGGTCAATCCCACTATTCGTTGGTAAAAGAGTAGCCCAGGAGTTGGCGATGGATAGTGATGACTAGTTGCCTTTCACTGCTAAATTAGGGACGGCTAGCGCAGATAGCCCTCGTGTAGCTTTGCACGAAATTTAAAACAAATAAACAAATATTTATATCAGTACGATTTATCATACATTTTACATAAACACGTCTAACAACATACAAAATGTATGTTATCGTGTTTAATTAAACTGGAATAGTATTAAAATAACAGAACAAAAATCTTGGTTATTTAATTTTCGAAGCAGTTTGCCTAATCGTTGGCGAAATTATACCAAGAAAGTTAAATCCTAAAACATTTAGATTCATGTACTTAAGATCATGTATTCTTGAGATAACTATAAACTCAAGTTAATCCCCCATTTTAAAACATGTACAGGTTATTTGAATTAATTATTTGTAACAAATATTAATTTTTTGTATTTAACTTTTCGTTATAAAAATTATTTTAAAAAATAGGGCTTCAGCAGAGGGAATAATATGTTAAAAGAGCTATCAAAAAAGAGGTTTTACATCATTGCCTATCGTTCGCACAATTTTTGTATTTTTCCTTTAAAAATGTGTGTTTTGGAGACAAAAAGATATTATAATATGCTTTCATTTGTTTTTAAATTATATTGAATTCTTCAAATCGTATACGATACCTTTCAGTAGGTATAAAATTTGTTTGATAAAATGCTCTCTTCTTTAATCTATCACCTTTGAAAAATAAGACGTAATTCATTTATTCTCGTAGAACTTCGTATCACTGTTCAGAGATGCTCATTAGCAACCTTATACTTTTAATATATTTCTTTGGCAAAAAAAACAAAACATAAAATTTTCGACACGGGGTGGGCAAACTAATGTGTAGAAATATGTCACAACTCAGTATCCCAAATTATCCATTACCTTACCATGGTAGTTACCCTGTGCTTAATCAATTTTCAACACTCTTTAACGTCAAAATTGGTGTTTCTGTGTATATGGTGTAAACCTTTTTTTCTCAGGCTTAAGGGCATCATGTCATTATAATAGCTTAATCACTACGTAATGACTTAATCATGTAATACATAGTGGAAAGTTGTTCAGTCAACTTAAAGGCTGCTTTAAACGCTTGTATTGGAATAAAAAAAAATATTATTTCTAAAGAATAAGTCATAAATTCAAAGTTTGATTATTTCTTTATGATTCCCTTTGTGTACTTTTTATGTTGGTGATGTTTTTATTGACTTTATGTAGTTAATTAGTTTGTACAGGAGATTACATGTTTTTAGAATAATGTATAGTTATGGTTGAAGAGCCATAACCTTGATACGCCTTGTTGAACACTTCTTGGCTGTTATTATGATAATAATTTTAATACTATAAAGTGTTTATATACAAAAGGATTTACATGTCATAATACAGCTTTGGAATTACAATAATCAACAGAAAGTGCTGTTCTATCACATGACATTAATTTTCGTGAACCTCAAATCGTGCTCGAATAATTTCCGGAGCGTACGTGTTGCACCGGATGGAAGACTTGCTTCATCTCTAATTATCAAATAAATGTATACAATAAGCGCGCCAGTAAGCTAACTTTAAAGTGGTATGTTGTGTGTAAATCCAACTTCAAATAACAAGCTACATAAGGATATTTCTGCTTTACTACTTTTCCACAAGGAAACCATATTAATATTTCACATCGTAACAGTTAATAAAACCTATTTTTGAAGAGAAAGTATATATTATTAATTGTTATGATATAACAATTAATAATAGACACTTTTCGCTATGATATTCTTACAAAATTTAATAATTAATAGTAAGTTGTGGTTTTTGTCGTGATGGATTTTAGTATTGGAGACCAAGATTCAAAATTATACTTTTATTTTTTTAAATTCTCAAATCATTTATTCTCCTGGAGCTGTGACAGTTTTACGATAGACTTATGATTGCAATCATTTTTTTTTTCAGTTATAAAATCACTAAAAATGGAATTTTCCACAATATTAGAGCGTGAATTCAGGCACAACTATATTTTGTGCAACATGTCTGATTGCACATAAGAAAAAAAAATAACTTAGGAAATGTCCATACTATAGTTTCTAATTAGTTGTTTAAAAAACGAGAATTAAACTTAACATTCAAGCGATTTCACTATTCAGTTTCAATATAAAAATGTGAGGAGTAGGACTTTTAGAAATATACGAGTGAACTTAAACATTCGTTAAGTCAACTTTTGCAGTTTAAGCAAATTACCTTCAGGTTGTAAGATTTTTTTCACCCTGTAATTTTACAATCCCTCACTTATGGCAAATATTATGATATAAAAGTTTCCTAAAAATAAATAGCAACTTCTTATTTGAAGTTAAAAAGTATTTGAAATTGGACGAAATATAATGAAACAACACAGCATATGCAAAGTGTGTCTTATTTAAGGAAGTTTGTTGTTAAGCTCATAACTACAGAATGAGCTGATTTTTAAAGATACAAGATCTCAAACTTACCGCTTAGCCACTTGGGAGCTTTAAGGAAGATTTAAGAATTGTTGGTTAGATATTATTATTATACAATATCCATATTCAGGACAGGTTGAGCACACAATGTAAACCAATAAATCAGTTTAGCTTAACACAATTTATAGGAAAATCATGTAAATAGATCCAGATCTAGTGCTTCTTTAGCGTAAGTCTTTACGTATATATATATATATATATATATGTGTGTGTGTGTGTGTGTGTTATTTATCGTTGTAAAGAATACTATAATGTATTCATGCTGTGGGAAAGTCATCTTTTGTACTCATAAGAAAAAAAAATAAACATTAATTTTGACATACGATCCCTTGAAATATTAGACTCTTAGTAACATAACTAACTTTTATTATACAAAAAAAAAAAATAGTTTTATGCTGACAGTTACTTGAAAACAAATGTTTAAGCCTAACTCTTAGGACAGGAAATTACCTAATTAGCATTTTTATAAACTATTTCGGTGTTGTATTCTTTCAAAAGAAAATCATTTGAAATTAATTCTTTGTTATTAAAAATAAACACATAACTCACATTTGCTGGTAGAGTGTTGTTTCGACTTACCCGATCATCTGTTTCTCTTATAATGTGAAATGAGTATCGCAAGATTCTATAAGCTTAAATTCTACGCTTTTTTTTTCTCTCATTGTGCACTTGTTATAGGTTATATAAATATATACGAATACGATAAAATTTATATTAGATTATACTTATTGGTAGAAAACGTAACTCTGAAATCAGTAAAACATATTAAACGTATTAGTTATTTATCCCAAATTAGTAAAGTAAAAATAAAAGTAGGCCTAGAAATTCGGTAAATTTCAGAGGAATTTCATTTTAAATAATATATAAAACAAAATGTTCAGACTAATTTCGGAATTTTGTTTGACAAACTTGAAACAGTTGACGTTCTTTACTCTACAAACTGATGTACCGTACACTGTGGGTGAATGTTGGAATTTACAAGTATTTAAAAACCTAAAAATAATACTAGACTTTATCATAGTTTTCTGAACTCATAAATCCAAAATAACGTTGACACATATAAATCGGAGGAAAAAAATAACCAGTTTGACATTTCTTTTCCCTCAGCTGAATGTTCCCCGCTAAAACCCGGGGTTCTATTCCACCGGTTGGACACAGAAGATAGCCTAATGTGACTTTGTTCTAAAACAAACAGTCAACAGCTGCAAAGACTACACAACTAAAACCATTATTTTTATATATCTTTTCCTCAAAAGTGAGACCGTTTGAACCTGATATAAATGCTTTTAATCAGTGGACACTTTAAAACTCCTTTGGCGAAAAGGCATATTAAAGGGAAAAATTATTTTCAGTCCATATTTTTCTCAAAAAATATTGTATAAAAAGTTAAAGATCGTATTACAAAAAGTACTAAGTCAATAAAAAACGTTAATTAATGTACATCATTGAATTTCGTGGATCTTAGAACGGTTAAAGTATTAGCTCCAGTTTGTTTATTAACACATTATTGTACATTAACATTAATGGTGCTTTTATCATGGCCCTCGTTTGTCTCTGGATCTAATTTAAAAACTTTTAAATCGTTAATATTTGAGACATTAAAAGTTTGGTAATAAGTAAATTCTGTCTAAAATTTACACCTCACGCGCGATTATTCTAACTATTTTAAATATATATATATAAAAGAAGACTTATTAGTTGTATCTTTATGAAAGTTATGCAATAACTCTCTTTGAAGATAGATGGAAAAGTAAAATGAAGAAACGGTCAAAACCACAGTTTAAACAAATGAAAACTAAATAACCGTGCTCAAATAGACCAACCGATACTTACGCCTGAGGTAACCTTCGTCCAATCGAACTTCTTTATTCGCAACAGAGGCTTGAATCTGGAACGAAGCACGTGAGGAAGGAAGTGCAACTTATTAAACGTTAGCTTTACTCCATTAGTCTTAACTTCAGTTTGGTGTTTTTTGCATTGAAATAGAAATGATAAAAGCCATGATGGTCAGGGGTGTGGTGCTGTTTTCAACTAGAAAGTAAACGTACGTGTTCTGTGAGACGTCTTCTTCACATTGTCACCTTAAGCGTCAGTTCAGTTTCAAGCATGATAAGAGACGCCATGAACGACTGGAAGATGAGTTTATGACGTCACAGAAGGATTTAGACTGAAGGGGTGTATAGCGGTTACATTTTAGATATTAATACAAGTCTAAATCCTTATCATGCTGCATGACAGAACAAGATAGCCCCAGAAATCTGGGGCAATGGTCGGTTGCTATGTAGTGTAACTAACGAAGGCGGCCACAGGGCTGTTATGAAGCGTTATTGGTTGGTGGGATCACGTGATTCGTTCAACCCATAATTCTGTCATCTACCGTTCATGATTTACTGTCCATTTATTTTCTGATTTATCTCCAACTACGACAGCTGATTTGTGGCACATCTTCAGAGGTTTTTTGTCTGAAGAGACACTTGTAGGAGATATGAATTCTAATGTTTTGCATTCCAGTGCCTGTCACAACAACCAGACTGGAGCATACGATCCGCCCTTTTATGGACCTGAATTAACGGCTTCCCATGTTTTCTATGGACAGTCCTCGGGACATCTCTCTCTACCAAATAACCACTATGTAGGGAACGGTCTGGTCACTTCTTTTCCTGGACTTGACCATCGGTCTTCCTTGCTTAATCGAGAGGGAAGTAGTCAGTTGTCAGTGCATCTCGCAAGTGATACATCCAGTGGAATGACCTACACAAACCTAGAAAACAACGTGAACTATGTCCACCCGAGTCGGTTAAGACACTCTCAAGTGTCCAACAGCGGAAATCAGACCATCGCTAGAGTAGAATATGCCGCCACATCGACAGACGCCGATAGGGGAAATAGAACTCAGCTTGCCGAAAATTTCACTCTCAGGACCATGGAGTACGGACCAGAAGCAAAAGGTTCTCGTGGTACGACCCACCATCACCAAACCCTCGTTCTCGAGAGTACAGATGGTCGACGCGCCGAGCTCGATGGTCTCGGCATCGGAACTCCCGTGAACTCCCATCCATGCATGGCTCCAATGGGGCTCCCGCGGAGGAATGGATCCGGCTACCCGCAGGGCTATGACGCCCATCATCGGGACACCTGCCAAAGTGACAGCGGTATTTCAGAAGAAGCTGTTATCACCACCAAAACTTCGACTGTTCAGCACTCTGTTCCCGTCCCCAAATATAAGTGGATGCAATTTAAGAGAAATATGTCAAAAAGTGGTAAGTTTGTCTTATTTATCGTGTAATAACATAAAATAAAAATATGAAGAGTTAGTGTTATCCCTTTGGTTATACAAGTTCCAACCGACCACCATTTGAAAATAAAGAACAAAATCTGAGACATGTGAAGTCAGTAGTTAGGTTACACTCGCACGACAACAAAGTAAAAAGAAAGAAAGAAATAGGGACATTAGAAGTCCTGAGGGTGATCGATGTGGCGCCATTGTAATGCTATGACCCAACGTCTGTATAGCTGTATATATATTAAACCCGTATTTTTATGCGTTCATCAACATTTACAAGATGTTCTTTTGTTATTTTATGAACAGTCTTTTTGCTTTTGTGTGTTAAATTATTATCAAATTTAAAAATTAGAAGTGTATCTAAATCTTGGACACTTACAATTAAACGATATTTTGCTCAAATTATTTGTAGTAAAGGTGTTTATTTCTTCTGAGTGTGTTTCTGTTAGAAGAACCTGTAAAATGATCACATCTGACTGCGTGTATTGGTAAGTTTTAGGGCCTTCGTCTTTTAAAGACCCTTGGCCACCTATGCTTTATGAAATCATTCAATCCTTTAATAACTGAACCAATTACCCAATCACTCAACATCAACCTAAGCCTTAAAGATTAGAGCATTTTGCGCCATCATTCAATACTATATACCATGACCTTACTGTATTTTTAGTCACTCATCCAAAATAACATATCCTTAAAAATTGAAGTGTCTTATCCAACCGATACAACTGACAACTGAGGCACGATAATTCAGTCACCCAACACCATACAGTTTTACAACTGAGACACAATAACATAATTACTCAATACCATCTACCATAATAACTGAAATATGGTAATTCAATCATTCAGCAACTTAAATCTTAAAATGAAGATATTTTAATGAATCATTGAGCAGCACATACACTCAATACTGAAGCTCAGCTACTTGCATCCTCACAAATGAGACATCTTACCTTATCACCAAAAGCATTATACACTTCGACACTTGAGGAATGATAATTCAGTCCCTTATAACTATACATAATTAATCTTGGGGCGTAGTATTTCAATCACAGAATACCATATTTCATGAAAAATGAGGCATAATTAATCAATGGTATCAGTTGAAGTTTAATTGGTTGGTCAAATTTTTATTACCATATATCCTGAATGTTAAATCATTGTTATCCAATCTATTATAATTGTGCACACTGGCTGTTTAATTGTGATAATTCAATATATTATAACCATATTCCATGAACGTGAAGTAATTCAACCTGTTCTAACAACACACTTTTGAGTGGTGAACGATGGTAATTCATGTCCTGATAATTATACACAATGAATGGACATTCAATCACCCAGCACCATAAATCCTGACGATGGAGTCCCTGTAGTTTATTTTGACTTACAATACCTTGCCTACAAGCTAAGCATGAAAACTTACAGTAAAATAAAACATGCCAACAATGCCTTTAAGGGCACGTCTTTTGCTTAGAAGTAACTGAAATAAAGAACATGTATTTCTTTCTTTTTTTTTCTATCAAGTTTAGAACAAAACAAATGGTCATTACAGTTACCTTGTTCCTCTGTGATATCAATGAATTTCGTAAATAAAAATAAAAATGTAATGGAAAATATCAAAATCAATTCATCCTTTTAACATGATTTATCATGATGTGTCTTTTAATATTTCATGATAAAGGAACTAGCTTACAACACGTTAAAATATATGTATTATAAAACTTTTTGTTTTTTAATTATAATGAAGTTTTTACGGAGGTATAAAAAGAACAAAAATATAACACCAACTTGGTTGTATATAAAAATAAAATCTAAATCCTTATAACTTGATATATGTAATTAATGGGCTATTTCTTTTATGATAAGGTTTACCTACTATTATTACCTAATCCATAGCTTTATATCTTATATATTATGGGTATATCAGTAATTATATGCACAACCTTTTCCCCGTTTCCAAGTGCTTCGGATGTGTATCGATGTTCTTACCTCAAACATAGCTTTCCATTAAAATATAAACTTCTGTTCCACTACAGTTTAAAAACTCTAAACATCCTTCATTCTTTTCTAATTATTCAATAATCTTACGACTTAATATCATAACAACATGCACGCTACATAAGCACCACACTCGTATTTTGTGTCAAGATATTTATATAGATATAATATTACTGCCTGTTGTATATCTATGTAACTACTTCGCAGGGTTTGGATGGATCTTCGTCAAAATTAGTATGGAGATTCATTAGGACCATGCGGGGTGCATACAAATTTTCAGTTTTGCATTTTGCGTTTTGCGGTTTTTACCACTACTTCGTCTCCTGTTGATGGATCTTCACCAAATTTGGCATGAATGTTTTTTGGGTCCATGCAGAGATACATGCAAACTTGCGGTTTCATGTTTTGTATTCTGTAGTTTTTGTGGGCGTTTATGAGTTTTTTACAATTACATATAAGGGAAGCAACTGTCCTAACATAACATTTCATTAATCATGAATTTACATAACTGCCGTCTAAGGGACGGGGACTCCAACGAGTAGTTGATATAGTATAAGATATTTTTTCTTCAGTGAAGAAATCAAGTGAAAATGAAGTGCTTTTAAAATTCGTTATTTCTGAATCAAGATAAGTGCACCCTCATATATTAATTGCGTATGTACATTGTGTATTTTTAAGTGAAAAATAAGGAGTGTTATTTGTGCGTTAAGTAGTTAAACACTATTAAACAAAAAAGCTTTATATTGTATGTACTTATGTATCTATGTATATATAACAGAAATATAACTAAGAAAAAAATTCGCACAACTTAACTTACGAACGCTGTTTGATTTATCTTAATTACTTAATTCGATTAAATGTGATGAAATTCTCTAACAGCCCAGGTGAACACATTCCCAGTGTCTAGTTATTTGTTTCTGACGAATCTTGTTTCAAGTGCACACGTGCTCAACGTTTAATTGTTCGAATCGAATGAGCATTTTTCAAGTGCACGTGCCAATTTATTAATTCCTCGGACCTAATGAAACTTTCATACATGCCTAGAGTATAATTGTTCAAATCTCGTGAAACTTTTTTCAAGTGCACGTATTCCCAGTGTCTAGTATTTTTCACAACCTTCTTTTTTCACATATACACATGATCAGTATCTAGTTGCTTAGTTCGAACTATTTTCTGCAAAACTTAACATTAATGACAATTAGTTTACTCGTGTCTCAAAGCTTTCAGTAATTATAACTTACTACATAACTTTGTAAAATAAATTACAGTGTGTTCGTGGTTTTAAAGATAATACAATAACGATTAGAATAATACATAGTGTGATGTCATAGTACAGCTAATTAAACCAATCATAAAACAGCATTCTGGCTACTAGTGGTGTCTTTAAATGCTCTCAATTTTAATATAATTAATTATATAGAATGGTTAAATTGTAGAATGAGAATCACTTCATGCGCAGATGTAATAATTCCCATTTAAACCTGCTGTAGCATTGTTCCCTGTAAGTAGATACCCAGATTCATGTGACAGCTAATAATCTATACTCGTTTTAAAATGATAATCCATGTAATAATACTAATTTTAGAAAACCAATTTATAAGTACCTAAATTTGTTGGCAATTGTGTCTGCATTAGGAATTACCGGACTTAAAAGAAACGATGCAACATTATGGTAATTAATATCTTATACCATGACAGAAAACATTTATAAGAAATCGGGTTTTTCGTATTGTAAAGAGCTTTGATTATGTGAAGATTAGTAATAATAACCTCTCCCCCAAAACAACAAAAAACACACAAACACTTAGCCACAAATACTATAATGTGTTTTGTTCTTATTTGTACAAATGTTTATTAAACAATAACAATTAGAGATGAACAAAATTGTCCACCAACTCACTGATCTATTGGAATATTTGTCATCTTTGTAAATATAATTAACCATGGTACAAAAGATGTACATGATAAGCCTAAATAGCTCTGTGTTATAATGACGTGTGTATCTATATAAGCTCACGCTCTTTTGTCCATATAAGTTTCTCTCAAATTTGGAAATCTACAGGAAATGAATGGCTTGTATGACATAGTTCTGAGGGATAAAAATACATAGTTAAACCTTATAAACTTTTTAGGTCCTACTTAATCTGAGTATTTAGTCTCTCTTCAGTTAACATAATAACATCTGATGAGTTACTAAGAACAACAAGAATCCCGATGTGATCAACATGGTTTAAAAACTATAGTAAAGCTAGAAATCGAGACTTTTTTTTTTACATATTTATAGTAACAGGACACCCTAATGGGTTTTCAGGCCCACTTTAGTGGGTGTCAAGGCCCGTAGTACAGCAACTGGTCGGTCACTCAACCGCATGGCTGGGCTTCTAGCACTTACAATTACAAAATATGAAGTAATATTTCAGATAAGTTTTAATACACATGTTGTTTAAACACCTATGGGTAACAACACCCTACATATAACCTTCCACATCTCCCCTTAGCATTCACAAAGATGTATAAATGGGCCCCTTGAACAGATGGGTGCTCAGAAAAAATTTATAAGAGAAAACGTCTTACCGGAAATCCCCTCCAAGAGCTATATGGAACAGTTGCAATAAAACTTGCCTATTCTTGAAACAGTGTACTGTTTATATGTGTAACACAAATACAGAGTATACTGACCGTGCATATAATATATAAACACTCTTATAAATAAAATAGGTAAGGATTGCCACTAAATAAGACATAAGAGAGATTGTGCGGGATTAACAAAATTAAGATGCTTATACTATTTATATATTAATTATCAGGAAGACCGATAAACTTAGCTGATTTTATAGCCATTTTACCAAGATTTAGAATTAATCTAAATTTCAATACGAATTTCTCACTACAGTTTTACTCTCTTACCTATTTTAGGTATAAAACTAATAATTATTCTGTACGGCGCTCAACTTTCATATTTGTGTATACGTCTCT